AGAATGTTGCCTTTTGATTGCCCCTTTCTCTTCACGTGTTCGATTCTAAATCAAAGCAAACGGTTAGAAAATTTTTTATTCGTTTCTTAAAATTTCACAATTTTGTAAGGCAAAAAAGGCACATTATCTGCCCTTTGAAGCTTTTTCAGGGGAGGAGGTTGCCCTGAAAACTAGATGGTTGCTTAAAACGACAATATATATTAAGAAATGCTTAAGCTAGACAAGGACAAGAGGGCAAAAGCATGCCCTTTTACAGGGTTCAGTGCAACTTCAAACACATTTTGCACCGTGGAAGAGCTCCATTTTTGGAAGAAACGAAATCACCAGAAGATTTCAATAAGTCATAAAGGCATATCAAAAATCTCCAAACTGATATAAAATAAATTTTATTCACTTGCGTTAAATGTTCTAACTAATTCACAGGGTGCATTAAAATATACTCGTACTACGTATTGAAGAACGTGCTTATATGTGTATGTATTCACATACATAAGTATACGAGCTTTGAAAAAGCTATAGCGATCAATTCAAGTTCAGAACACAAAAGCTCAACGTCGACAAGAATAGCAAAGTAGCAATTAAAATTATACAAGTGAAACTTTAAGTTGCAAAATGCTTTATTTATATTGCAAAAAAGCTCATTTTATGTAGTAAGTGGGCAATTGTTCTTAAGCGGCACTAATTCTAAAATGTTTACCTTTTATCTATGTATGTACATATTTACTTACTTACAAAATTTTAGTAGAACATATCGCTCGTTTACGAAAAGGTCGTCGCTCCTAAAATGTAGGAAAAGTGATGCATATTTGGGTTGTTCACACTTGCCTGGTTATCAGGTTATCTGATTAAAAATTATTATTCTGTAGTGTATGTTATTGTTGTAAACTGAATAAAAAATATAACCACATAACCAGATTGTCTTCTTATGCGAAAACGTGCAACGACAGCATTCCCAGTCCATCTCGAAATTAGTTTTGAGGGCCCGGTGTAGAAGTTTTCTCAACTTTTGAAGTTCCTTGTTCCACCAGGGAACAGGCGTACGGCGAAGAGGTGAATGAGACGGACAAGCCTTATCCAAACTGGCAGACTAAAGTCATGATAATCAGTAATAATTCCAACGAGAAAGTGGCTTTCCTTATGGTTATTAAGAGTGCCAAATGTGATAAAATTTTATAGCCAAGTTTCTTTTGATGACTTTTCAAGAAATCGACCTCCATTGAATTTATGATTACAGGTATAAAAAGGGGATATCTGTGTCTTACTAAAACTACCATTAACTAAGGTTTTCCCAAAGTGGACTTATGCCACTTTCAAAAACAGCTCACATATAAGCATCTTTCACAATTGTATAAGTTCCGACGACATCGGTATGTAGGTATATTTCACAATTGATCACATTCTGGAGTCAAATGTTCCACCAATCACAATGGAATATTCACCAAATTTGTAGGCCTATTTTGATCTGCAAAAAAAAATTATAAAAAGGCGTTATCCTTGTAAGTTGCCTAAGGTAATAAGTGTATGTGTCATATGTACTTTGTTTGGTCGATCAACTAAAGAGTTCTTATACATAATTCTTTTATTTAAGAGGCGGTAGCTGACTTTTCATACTAATTGTCACCATTAATTCCACACACAAAGCCAAATATTCCCAGCCCACAATATTTACGTTACATATCCATTTTGTCTCATTACCAATATACATACGTACATTCATCTGCTTTTGCTTAAGGTTATATTTTTTGTATTTATTTTTTTCATCTAGATCTCTACCTCTAAACCTGTTCGTTCTAATTACATTTATGTTATTCCGTTTTCCTTTATCTTTATACTCTATCAATAACAAAATCGATAACAAAACCGATAAAAAGTATCGATAAGAAAATCGATGGCAAATTCGATAAAAATTTCGATAGCAAAGTCGATAATAACATTGGTAACAAAATCAATTAGAGAATGGGTGAAAATATCAATAGCAAACCCGATAAAAAATTCTATTATTATATCGATAAGTCCCGAGAATCCCGAAAATCTCTAAAATCCCAAAATAGTTCACAGATTGAGTCTCTGTGTCTCCTATATCCTTTTCTCTATAATTACATTTATTTTAATCTTTCTTCCTCTATCTTCATCTTTACTTTTATCGGTATCCTCATCCTCATCTTTTTCTTTACATTTATCTTTGTTTTTAATTTTATGTTTATCATTTTCTTCGTCTATGTAAATATTCCCCTTCACCTTTGCCCTTTTATATATATGTAAGTCTTCATTTTTGCCTTTATCTTTAGTCATCTTTGTCTTTGGTTTTATATTTACCTTTGCCTTTATCCTTTTCTTTGTCTATATACGTACTCACCTTTACTTTTATTCTTGTTTTGGTCTTTTTCTAATTGTTATTCTTTGACCTTTTATTAGCAAGTTTTTGTTAAATTAATAACATACATTCAAGAAGCACTTGTTTCCGTCCCAACCATTTCCGTTGCACTATTTTCGTTGCACCATTTCCGTGTGCAATTTCCGTTGAATTTGCCAATTTACTCCCAACCAACCAACCGCCGCTAAAGTCTCACTTCAAAATAAAAATTATACATATTACCAGGATGGACGTATTTATTATGTACATTTTTACATATTTTCTTAATACCATAATGCTATGTGTTCATACATTACAAAATTAATCTACAACTACTTTCTTATAATTATGCCATGTGCTGGCGGCGCTCACTTATAGCATTCTTCACTACCGATACTGAGGGTTCCCCAATATTCGCAATCATCGCCATCATCAGCAGTACTGCTTATAGTGTCACATTGAATAATGCTGTGTTGATGATTAGTAGCTCTAATTCCTTCGTGGCGGGGATGCATTAAAACGTTGGAACTCTCAGTTGTTGACGAAATCACATTACATTGCCATAGGTCTTTATTGCTGGATCGCACCATTTGTTGTTGTTCACTTACATTGTCTATGAATACTGGCCGATAAGCATTCGACTGCATGTCATATATAAAACCACATTCACAAGGACACAAGTAATATATTTCTCCATTTTGGCCGACTAAAGATCTCGCTGAGAGTACTGGACTCGGTAACACCATTTGCGGATTGTTTGATAACTCAACAGAAAATTGAATGATCCCACGAAATTCAGCTGCAATTAATTTGGGAAGTTGGTCACTGCCGCAATATCGATTGCTAGCCGCATTTAGTCTCAAAAAAATTCGAATACAGCGATTCATAATGTTTATTTGATTAAAGGATTGCCGACTTATGGTACTTGAAGTTCAATAAATCATAGAGTGACTGATGGCAAGGGGTACGTTTGAGTACATTTTATAGCGCTACAAAAGTAAGCATGTATGTACATATGTACATACATATGTATGTATGTTATTATTGAGACGAACTTGAATCCTTATGTACGCTCAATAATGAAGTTACGTGGAGCAGGTAGTATAATTATAAGGCTGTTAATTAAAGGACTCCGTTAAAGATGCAAATGACTTAACCTAAACAACACAATTCTTAGAAGCGTGGAAAACACGCTGACATTTATCAATAGCTACATTTGAGTGTATGTATGTATATTAGGGTGCTACCTGAAAATCGGATACTTCATCGAAAATAAAAAGTGGTGACATTTGAAAAAAAAAATGTAAGTGCATCACTGGCTTAGCTCCTTCAAAAATTCGATCTGCCTTATAAATAACACGGGAAATATATACATTTTTTGTTTAATAGTTTCATAGTATTTATTGTAAGTTGATTTCTAATTTAAGAATAATAAATATCGTCTTAAAAACATTTGATGTAAATTACTACTAACATTTATCCTTCCAGCTTTATAGCTCAAAAGCTGTTGGTCGGACGGCATTTGCTCACAGAACTTTTTTGTAGCAAATTTCATGCCCCACAAAAGTTGTACACCTTTTCCCAAAAAAAGATAATTTTTAGACGGTTACGAATTGTTGTAATTGTACTTCCTGCCGCTTGGGAGGAAATGTTGAGATAACTCCACTTCATCTTTCTCTAGACAGCTGCGACATGAATATCTGGTGTGATATTTAGTCCCATCACGCGAATATTAGTCGGACAAAATCCTGACAATACACTCACCAAAGAGAAAGTGCTCCCTCTCGCTATTTACCCGGCGAAATCAACTTTTTTGGTCAACTCACCCGCATTGAAATTCCCTGCCTCTACCTCTACCTGGAATACACTACAGTAACCTGTAACCCTAAATTAAATGGAGAGCGCTCTGCATAAGAGAATCCTCCACCGGCACCTCTGTCAGCTTGCAATTACTGCTTCCCTGTTCGCTCATTCCTAGAGATGTAAGTGGCGAGAAAGCTCATTGGTACCCGTCTACCCACGTGATGATCGGATAAAGTCGAAGCTTCAGAAAGCTTGAGCTTTTCTGACGAGGGAAAGTTGGGGGGAATACAAGCATGTGCGATATATTTATTTTTTGAGCTTCTGAGTACTCGAAAACATTTAACATTTTAAGGGGTGCTTTTTCTTAAGAAGAAGGAGCTGAAAGTGACTAAAGAGTTTTAAAAATTAAAAATTTTCCAGACTACTAAACCCAAACAAAAAAGCTAAATCTTGTTGAAAATCTAAAATGGCAAGCCTGATCAGCACACTCTTTTAGCTCACATCCGGCAGAAAAAGGTGTACATCGAATTTGATTATCTCTTCTTAAATTAATACAGTGATGGTCAGGTTGATTAAGAAGAACCTTGGATACTTGCTGATTTGAGGTCGCCAATTCACAAATTACATCTCGCCTCAGCTCCGAATGAAGTATTTTAAACAAATGAAAATCGATTTCGGGGAATATCATAAATTTAAGGGAGTTCTCCTTGGCCGAGTCGGCGGCATTACCGGATAACCACTATGATCAATATGGAAAATATTTAAGTACATATAGTGATGTTCATTTATATCGTAAGCGGTTTCATTTATTACTAAATTTAAAAAAAACTACATATATCATAGTTATTAGAAATATAAAATAGTTATTTTAACAAAAAGCATTTACTAAAATTCAAATTTGTCATTGTTGTTGCTTGAAATAACCGCGAAACGTTAACGGCGCTGCGGTGATGACTTCCTGCAATTTTTGTTCACTGCTACTGGGACTATCGTTGTTGTAAAACACCGTGAAGTATACAATCAGTCCAATAATGATAACTAATCCAACAACGGAACAAAGTATGCCAAAAAGCACATTCAACGCGCAAGAAAAACAGCTGTAAAAAGGGTGAACAAAAAAAAGTTATTAAATACATATGATTAGCTCTTTTATTTTTAATAATTATAATTTTAATTTTAATTTAAAATTGTATTATGTACTAATGTTTAGCATGTTATAAAAAAAAAAAAAAACACAATTAAAAACCATCTTAAAAAGTTGTGGCAGCGAAAACGGGGCCGAAAAGTCGCTCACGAATAAGGCAGCAATCGAATGGTTTCAAAATGGTGCTGATTGATGCATTGACGCAGATTGAAATCTAGTAACAGATGCGCACACTACACTTGCGATAAACAATAACCCAGAACGTTGTATAGCGGCGATCGTTACATCATTCCACTCAGCCAAAACGAGGTAAGATCTTCAGTAATGCAACTTAAAACCAACAAAGCTCGGTGGAACCGATATACATATGTAATGCCTGCTGAGCGGTTCAAAGGCTTTAACGAAGAACTGAGAGGGATGGAGCTTTTAAAAAACTCAAAAGAGGTTAGTTTAGCGGTGAGCGAGGTCAAGACTAAGTACTTACTTCCTCGCGACACACAAAGAGTCTTTGCATATTGGCAGCTAGGAGACGATCCTCACACTACTATTTTTGTATAGAACGAGGTATTTCTGCGAGAGGTTTCTGCCGCCTAAAGGGATGAAACACCCGCCGGGAGAAGGAATACTCAAAGGTTTCATAAAAGAATAGTAAAACCTGGGCTCGAATCGTAACATCCGTTCATGGATCGAAAACCATACGAAAGAAAATTACGTGATTCGTCAGTCGTATAAACTGAACGAGATAAGGAGTACGTTCACGTATGTTATAATCCAAAAACAGATCTACATACAAAAAATTGCTTTTATAAAATTAATGTGATACATGATATGTAAAATATATATACACATGAATATATATTAGAATATATTATATACAGTAGAATATATTATATAGATTGGGTGAGCTAATACATACATATGTAGATTTTACTAGATATATCTTTAATAAGAACTTCTTAGTTTTCTTCAAAATACGTTAACAACAACTTACCAACACACAACCTTTGCTGGACATTTGATACACTCCCACAAAGCCATGCACATCTTGTACAATTGGATTTAAAGATTTACTGCGGCGCCAAAGTCCGGTTATAATTACTTTGATTATTGTCAAGGTCAGCTGTAATACGCAATTCTAGTTAGACAGCTGAAATTATTAAATTTCGTAGTTCTTCTGTTCGATAATACGATAAAAATAATAAATAATAATGGCCGAAGTTATTTTTTGTGTCACATTCGGGTTTCAAAAGAGAACCGTATTTCGTTACCAATCACAAAACGCAACTAGTGGATGAATCCCATAAAATTTGTGATTATATCTACGGCAAAAAATATTGCAAATAACTAACTAGTTATCGCAAACTATTAATACATCATTGATCTAATATTGAGTTTAACCTCTCAATTGTATGAATAAAAGATAAAACTAACTGTTATCATGAGTGAATTTCTATCGTTTTTTTTTAACCCAGGAACGCAGTAAAATGCATATAAAAAATATTGAAAAGATTATGAAGAATTAGTTGAGCTTCAATCTGTCAGCTTCTATTATGGCTTGCTTTGGAAATGCATACATAATATTGAGCCCATACCGCCAAAATAACGTAAGCGACATTTTTTTCAAAATTTTCATTTTGATGCAGAAATATTCCTAGACCATCTAGATGCATTTCTGCATTAAAAAGAACATTTTGAAAAATATGTTGCTGACGGTATTTTGGCGGTTAGGGCTCGGTATGTACAAAACAACTGCACTCCGTGAGGTAATTTCCTCTCCAAAGTAAAAATTCATTGACTTCTAATATAATATTTAAATCATTAATTGTAGTTCAAAGTACTTTCTTAGAGAAATTTTAATAAAAATGTGAAAGTTTTGAATATTTTACTCTAAATTCCGAACTACAGAAAGCACAGAAGTTAGTTTGTCAAAAGTCCACATTTATGTATGCCCATGCATTAATGACGCACATAATTGCCTGCACGTAGACGGATTCCCGTATTAAGCGGTATCGAAATATAAACTTTTCCTGGCTTTTTTAAAACAGCGCATTGGATTCAACTAGCAGAGGGGAACGTTTATTTAACTTTTGCCTATGATACCACTTGCCAGTATATGGGTTAACTAATGTGTTTAGTACGATATGACAAATATCCACACATACTTAAAAGCAACAGGTGGTTTAACCAAATTCCGTTATCGTGAAGTACTAGGTTTTGTTTGTAAGTGTGCACTTTAGTTATCGATATCGATTGAAGCGTACAATTCTTAACACTCAATATAAGTGTTTGCCCATTCCAACGAATCAATGCTACATAGATACATACATGGTACAAATATAAACGTATGTTTTAATTACATAAGTGCATTTACTCATTATTCTGGGAACTACCAAAGATAACCATCCGTGAAAATTCGATGTTTACGCTCCTAATCATCGAATAATGCCCAAACAGTATTTAGTACCGATGCGTGGTAGTCAAACTCTAACAGGCCCACTCAGAAACGCCCATACAATTTTTTCTAGTTGGCATTTTACTATCTAACGATTTTAAATTGCCTAGTGAACGAAACATCTGCGTTAAAAATTAATTGTACATTGGCTAATTAGTCTGCTCCTTTACCTGTCAGATTTTCAGGATTTGGTTGTAAAGCTAATAGAGCTCATCGTTAAATCGTTTACGGTATTCGCCATCGCCAACGCACAAAGACCCCTAAGTCTTTCAGCCTAAAGTTTAGTATGCAGCTCGCAAGAAAATCAAAATCTCCATATAAAATGACCTACAAGAAGTTGCTAAGAAATTTTCTTGGGTCAAATTTCCTTAGGGCAGTACGCAGTACTTAATGGAATTTGCTACGCTTTCTACTACGGTTTTCTAAAGTTTTTTGTGAAAAAATAGCACAAGGCAACCCAGGTTTGCAACAGAAATATATGCCCGTTCCATTATTTCTTGAGGAAAGAGCGAGACAACAGGCTGTGAAGTATCAGATGTCAAAATTCCTTGGACACACACCATGATTCAATAATACAAGGTTAGATAATTATTGACAGCTGCGGTTTGACACTCCCTTACAAAAGGTTGCATTTACGAAGGACGGAGAAAAGGGGAGAATGAAATCTCTTGGTGCGAAAATGGTAGTAGAAAAGTACGCAAAGTAGGCAATTAGTAGTGAAATTCCTTTTGCAAATTCTAATGTTTTTGCAGGAAATCTAGCATTTTAAACGAAATTTTGAACGTAATATTGATGTATCTATGTAAATTACGTAATTTATGTGCTATTTAGCTGTATAAAAAATGCCAAATGACTCAAAATTAAAATAAGACTACTATGAGATTGATGTAAACATCCCATTTAAAAACAGTTTATGTTTTCAACAGTTAAATATGCTTCATATGCATATACAAATAAACATATTGCACAAACGCTCATACCTCTATATCACACCAAAGCTACACTGTTTCCATGTAAATGTGCAAAGAAGCAACACGGTGCCACTGCTAAGGGAGCGGTGCGAGAGAGACAACTGTCAGTTTATCGAACCTTGTATTATTGAATCATGGACACACACGAAATAATGGGAATTTTCTCTTGACCGTTTTCTTGAGAGCTGCATACTGGCCTTAAAGTAGCACTTGCTGGCAATCCGTGGGATTGCAAGGCTGACAGTTTAATTGGAGTTTATGCTGGTTCCTAAATGAACGAAGCCGGCTACTTTTTCAGACTTGTAACTGTCAACAGTGACGTGGGTGCCGAGACGCTTTGTCCTAAGTCACCATCAGACCGTGCGTTTTTGCTTCTCTATATAACTCGAAGAAAGCAGAACAGATGTAAACCAGGATCTATAAATAGCACCAAAGCCTCATCAAAAGTCTATTGCCTAGGCAATGTATTTGGTAGTCCAGGAATACCTATTTTTATCCTCATGAGTCGCACTGGATTTGCTAAGGCAGTTGCCTCGCATGAGACTTACGGCCGCTTTCACGAGTAGCTTTTAAAGTTTATCTGCCCTTCAAACAATTTTTTTGATATCAAAATTTTCTATTTAAAGGGCAGATACATTTTAAGAGCTATATGAAAAAACGACCCCTTTTCACGATGCTTTACAAAGTTAATCACACATCGTTTGGCGGCTTGCCATTTGTTTTGTATTTTAGTATAAAAAATCAGTTTTCCTTATTTTACTACTTCATTTATTCACAATAGTCGCAACGAAGTCATAGAAATATTCTTACAATTGTTCGGTAAATGAGTGTTTCCAGCGAAAAGTCTACGGCGTAAAAAAAAATTAAAAGTCCCATATCTTACTTATTTATAGGCCGATTTGGCTGCTTTTTATATTATAAGTATATTGGTGATGTATGCAGAAAAATGTTCGCCAAGAATGGTCTCGGTAGGTGGCGCCAGTGTCGAGATATTTTGAAAAATCGTATTTATGCTCTGATTTGTTTCATATTTGGCGTATTTAGTTGACACTTAAAAATTGAGCCGCTGGTGGCGCTGATGTCAAAATAAAATGAACGTATGGACATTTTCTTACCGTTAAAAATTCTTTCAAGATCAATATTAATAAAAACCTTTTCAATGGAAATTTTAGTAACGTAAAGCCAAGTAACGTCACGTCAGATAATTCAGCTGATTAAGCATAAAGCTAGACTAGATTTTTACATTTTAAAACTTGGAAAATTAACCCTAAATATTTCCAATATTGCTACAACAGCTTTTATACAAATAGTCTGGCCCAATTCGCAGAGTTTTGTAATTTTGTCATCGAAGTCAAGATCCACTTCTGTTTTTTGTAACGTCACGCCAGCGCGCAAGTATCTTTAAATAGCTAGCAGTTGTATTTTTTTATTGAATAAGGGACCATTTATTTGCTGTGCAATTCCAGAAACCCCTTTCTAAAATTTTGACTTTTTCAATTATTTTTTTTTTTTTACATTTTGTTATACGAGTGTCACGTAACGCCAGTTTGAAAATTCAACGACATATTTCAAAATATACGAGATTTAGCTTTAGAATATCTCTGTAAGGAAATTCTATGAAAGTGTAAAAGGTTTCTAACTTATCAGGTAAAATTTAAAATTAGTCCGTTACATTGATGGTAACAAGATATGCTGAATTGTGGGATTAGAGTAAATAAGTCCTCTCGTAAATTGGTAATGTATACGAAATCTATGTTTAATCTTTAAGACTTAATTAAAGATCTAAAGTCGTAGGAGCTGTAAAGAAAGACTTTTTCCATGTATTTAGAAGAAGATAAGTTTCTTTAGAGGAACAAAAAAATGAAAAGTTTTAAATTAGGTATTGTTTCTACACATAGATAAATTAAATTCCTAAAGGCTGAGATTTTCCAATTTTTTATTAATACATATGTACATACTAAATTATATATTACATTATTTATACGAAAATTTGTTGTGACTTATGCTAGGACCGGCAACCATTTCTTTAATCACATTCCAAACTATCGATGCTGATTGTCCTCCAATCGTCGTCTTCCACCTCGTTATCAGTCGTACTGCTTATTGCGTTATATTGGATAGCCCTGTGTCGATTAATAATTATAGTCGTAACACTTGAAAGCATTACTCCATTGCTACTTGCAGTTGTTGACGAAACCCCATTACTTTGAATTTGCTCCATCAAAAGAGACCGCACGACGTCAGCCTGCCGATCATTATGTTCTAGGAACATCGGCCGATAAGGATTCGAATCAACGTCATAGACAATTCCACATTGGCAAGGACAGAAGTAGTAAATCTCTCCACTTTGGCCAATTAAAGATCTTGCAAAGAAGTTATTAGAACTGGGTAATACTCGAATATGCGGATTGTTCGATCGTTCGAGAGCGAATTGAATGACATCACCCAGTTCTGCTTCAATGAAGTTTGGAGGCCCACCGGAGGCGACCCTTTGATTCAAATCGCCGTTTTGTGCAAGAAGAATGCGTATTGGGCGATGATTCATGGCTAGTGGTAATTTAAGAGACGTTTGACTTTGTACTTAGAAACTGAATATATCTCAGCCATAAACTCACTGATGCTAAGTGCTAGTTTCGACGCATTTTATAACACTAAAAAATATGTGCATACGTAATAAATATGTATGTATGTGGTATGTACGAAACTTAATTATTCCATTGGCCGACAGGTAGCTCTGATTTTAGG